CGTTTTGGCATTGGTAAGAGCAGCCTCCTGGACGGGCCAACACTATATAAGACTGGCCCGCCCTGCAGGCTGCAGGTAGTTCATAGGGACTTCCCAGGCACTTCACGTGGAGGAGGCAGGAGGCAGTCTTCCGGATTGGCAGCAGCAATCTGGAGGAGCGCTGCAGTAGTAGTAGTAGCATTAGCAGTAGTCTTCAGCGCTGGGCGCTATTAGAAGCTAGAGTAGCGTTGGAGAGAGAGAGAGATGGTTGGCGGAGGCCAGGGAGACTTACGAGTGGCGCCATAGCTCCAGCTTCGTCTTTGATGTACCTGCAACAAGGCGCCACCTTCACAGGTTAGTACCGGACTGAGAGAGAGAGAGAGAGAGAGAGAGAGAGAGAGAAAGAGAGAGAGAGAGTTCTTCCTCTTCTAAGTCCACCATCACTCCCTCACCCTCTCGCTACCTAACTTCTCAGTATCTGCAGACTTCGAGCGAGCGAGCGAGCGAGAGAGAGAGAGAGAGAGAGAGAGAGAGAGAGAGAGAGAGAGAGAGAGAGAGAGAGAGAGAGAGAGAGACAGAGAGAGAGATTGGTGACTTTTGGATTCAGACTCGACATTGGGATTCAGACTCGACATTGGGATTGAGACATTGGACGAGGGATTATTTGGGACCTGTACTGAAGACTTGGTGTTGACGAAATTCCCATCTTCCCCTCTTCTTCGTCTAACCCCCCTCCTCTTCGTCTGTGTATGGTTGGGGACTGGCGCATTCTTCCAGTGTGAGTGCCAGGCCCCTTCACACCATGGAATGATGATGACGTATGTTTGGTCTGCATTTCAACATTGATTGTTCAGATCATTGGTATATTAGCCTTCCGCTGCGCTATATTGTACTGTGTGAGAGAGGTCGGTTCTGGTTCTGGTCTGCACCTTTACGGTATGCGACAGTGCCTGACAATGTGCCTAACAAAAGGGCATACCACACAAGCCCTTTGGACACCGATGGGAAGAGGTCCCACTCGCAAATAGGAGTGGGTTGAATGCCTGCATCTGAACATGTTTTTGGAAAGGTGCAGAACTTTCTGCGCCTCTGCTAATAACACGTCCAGATTCAGGAGCTTAATCAAATCCTCTTTGCTAATGGGACCTCGCCCTCAGTTAGGACACTGTGTTCACACACCCTTTCAACGGCCTTGGGGCACTCGTCACCAACTGTCCTTTTCCTCCAGAGACTGACAGGTGACACCCCGCCCGCCAGCACTCCGCAGCTAACAGTACGACATTTACTTTTAAATATTTCCAGCCGAAATGTGTTTTCTGATTTTCCAGCTGAGTAACAAGGCCGGACAGACGTCGCGCGGAGGTCCCACAACCATCACACTACTCCAAACATGTGGCTAGTGGGATCTCCACCAGGATGTATCTGGATGCGATCGAAACAATCAAAAGAAATAGAATCACGATGCGAACCGAAAACGAACTCCCGTTTAGGGAACTTGTCCCCACACCCTCGCAAAATTCTTCGTCGCGTTTCCCTGTTTTGGCAAATTTCCTTTATGCAGCGTTGGACATCCTGACACACGGTGGTGATTCGAAACTCTCGGGCGAGAATGCACCTTGCGCAGTAAGTGTCGAAGTCCATGTACAGTGCTGTGCAGCGGGGGGAGGCCCACACTTCTCAGGACCGATTCCACAAACAGTACCTTCCACAAGTCGCAGGCAACCCGTTCCATAGTGGGAAATCTACGACGCCAACGCAATACAGAGAAAATTAAAGAACAAAATAAAAACGAAGAGAGCACACACAGGTCGAAGCCACAGCACTCAACAATGCTGACATGGCGCAAAAGTTGAGCACCAAAATTAGAACATCCGATTCCCAGCAATTCCATCCACACAGATCAGAATCCGATGGCCAAAACAAAAAAGAAAGGCACCGGCTCGGTGCGCAGCGTCACGCCCAGGCCGACTAAGCTTTAGTAGTATGTTGTTGATGTTGATGTAGTAGATTATTATCCGTCCGCTGATAAATGCTTTTCAAGAAAAGCATTCCGAGCATGGATGATTTCAGAAATACCATTTCAGGTGACTCTGAGCGTGATGGGCAACATAAAAGTTCAGGCTTGCAAAATGCCATCATGCCAAAAGGGTAAGTGCATAATATTCATCAGCACTCGTTCCAGCTTCGCCAGAACATCTACCTCCTCAATTGTCACTTTTTGGGGTGTGAGCTTCCAGATCCAAAAAAGGACACCTTTTCACACACACACCCAAAGAAAACGACTTGCAAAATGTGATGCAGCAAAACAACAAGAGATATAATAGCGCAGATTCACACTTTGCATAACCGCAATGCACCTAGGTCGACAGAACAAGAGGGGACTCCACAGTGGAGATTTGGTGATATATTACTACACTTTGCGTAACTATGTTCACAACGCAGTAAATACGCAGAGACAACTCTCTGTGTGTGTGTGTGTGTGTGTGTGTGTGTGTGTGTGTGTGTGTGTGTGTGTGTGTGTGTGTGTGTGTGTGTGTTTTAGATTTTTCCCACAACAGCCCCCCAAATCCACCCAGGTGAATAGATTCAGAATCAAAGCAGTCTTTGTCCTATTGCAGACAACGAGAGCATTTGAGATGTCCAACATATTAAAGCAATTTTATAATTAGACAGTTTTTTGGTTGTCCTTGGGGTACCCCTTTCATTGTTGTTCCAGCTCCCCTTTTACTATGCCTCTTACGCACAAGGCTGCCCACGTTGATTGTGGTTGAGTGGCAGCTGCCCACATCCCCGTGTGCCTTCATGGCCCATTTGCACGTTATTTCAGGAGGCAGAGTAAAAGGGAAGGTACGTTCCTGTGCATCTCTTCAGAGCTTCATACTCCTGTTCATTTCACTTCAGATCTTCAGCTTATACAGTCTTTGTGTCCGTCCTTCATCTTCATACTTCCGTTCATTTCAATTCTGATCTTCATATCGTCTGTTCTCTTGATGATGCTCATTTGTATGTACTTGTTAGTAGTACAAAGGGAGTGGAGGGGAGGGTGGAGGGTAAGGGATAGAAGGTGAAGTTCTATAGAGTATGGGGCAGGTGAGGTAGGGGCAATGGGAAGGAAAGAAATATGCGGAGGGCAGGATAGAGTATGACATGCAAAAAGCAGGGGAGAGGTGTATGATGGGCTTCACAGATTTCTGAATATTCGCCGCTGAAACAGAGTACTCTAGCAAAAAAAACTATGGCGAGTGGCCACCCCTACAGACCGGACAGGACCAGTTCGGGTGTGGGCTATGGAAGCACCGCATCCAATTTTCGTGGTCACAGTTGCTGCATCAAATGGCATGGCGCAGACAGATGTCACAGGCTAAGTGACTCGTACATGCTAGGAACACAGAGGCACGTCGACCGCAATTATAGCGGCATTGTCATTCCAGCCCGTCTACAAATTGGACATGACATGTCGGGGTGCCGTACGTGAGTACAGTACTGACTATCATCGTACGTATGGAAGCAAAAACTCGCATGGACTGTCCCTTCATAATCCTCACGGCACAAGGCATGCGAACCACATGCTAGTTGAATGTCCGGGGGGTGATCACAAATGGCATGGAGCACCTTCCTTGAGCTTCCTCAGTGTGTATTCCTTCTCTATGGGCAGCCGGCGACAGGGAGGATCGGTCCAACGCAAGGGCGTTCAGCTGCTGCAGGATATGACCCGCAACAGCTCGCCCTAGTGGTGATAAACTATAAGCACATCACTCCGCCAGTGGGTCATATAGAAGTCTATTTTCCTCTTTGGACTGCTGTGTTCATCGTTCGTCTGGCAAGAAAGAGGGAGATCAGTTGCCGTAGGTGTATGACCAACCCCGCATGTGGGACATGCTAGGATGTGGAGGGTGATGACACCGGGGATAGTCCACGCCGTAAAGACATCCTTTCTATGACAGCTTCCTGGGGGCATTGACGACACATGGCATGTTCCTGGCATGTCATTAGTATGGAAGGCTGGCGTGCACAGTTATTTAAGCATGGCAGATCAAGGCCACAACGGCATGTTGGGTAAGTAATCAGGGGTGGGGGGGATGAGCACAGGACAGGGGATCACAATTTTCGTGTGAGAGGCTAGCAGCGACCATCCCTTCATAGTGTTCGGAGCATAGGCTATGTGTGTGTGTGTGTGTGTGTGTGTGTGTGTGTTGGGGGGGGGGGGGGGGGGTGCACATATTCCACAGAGGGGACCAACACTGAGTGCAGCCCAACTACACTGTTCTTTTCTCATTATTGATGTCGTCACTGGGACTAGACCCTTGGCCAGAAGGACGTATTTTGGTTATTATTCATGAAGTTTAGCTGCAGGGTTCTGAACAGGACAGGTAGCTTGGTAGTTCAGTCGGCTCTGGATATCGTATAAGCTGTATGCACAGACCCTACAAGGCTGCATGTCAGTCACATTTTACCAAAACTCCTGCCCGCCCATTACTAGATTTTTGGCACTTACAAGCCAAGGGTGAGTGAGAAGCATTTTTGCTCATCAGCTTGTGATGGTCAGACGAGAGTGTGCAGTGATAGTTTCTTGCTACAGTCACGAGACTTGATTGACCATTTTGCTCCCCATTTGAGGTGCCTTGCCTGGTCTGAACAGGCTGACAGCCGGTTGATTTTCAACCAGCCAGTTTCCTGCTGTGTCGTTTATGAAACGAGTTTTTTGAGTTTCCAATCAACCAAAAATGAGAGGATCCCTGTTAGACGGGGGCTGCAATCTTCTTGCATGGGACTTCGGAGGGACAGGTTCACTGTTTCCAACGACAACCTCCCAACAATGACAGCACGGCTGCTTTCCACATTATGCACCGCCATTCGACAACTATGACATATGCATCTGACATGCACCCTTGCACTCACGCCAATATGGTTCCTCTGTTTTCATTGCAGATCGGATCACCATCTACACCAAGAGCTGTGACAACCCATAGACCACCATTATTGAACACAATCACAACGATGTTCAGGGGTGTTGAACCTACTTCTCCATTACTGCACCTTCCACTGCCTCCTTTGTGAGCACCCCCACTACAGGCGTCGCATGCTTTGAGCTGCTTTGAACGGCATCAAGAATGTTCCGCATTTGCACAGCTCCGTCCTCATTCCTTGGCTTCGCGTACAGCTGCATATCACACAAAAACAACGAGGGGCAAACAAACATGCAGTGAATAAAACCCTGCCTAATAAGGGGAAAATAAACATGCACAGTGAGTGAAACCCTGCCACATAAACCGCAAACAAACATGCACAGTGAATGAAACCCTGCCAGAAAGGGGGACAACGAAGGGGAATGGAAGGGTGCTAGAAGGGAGCAGAAGGGGGCATGCACAAAGGGATGGGGGATGGCATAAGTGGATTTCCGAATACATCACAGTACTGGTACCTAATTGCAGCGCAATGGACACAACTCTGATAAGCCACCTTGGCGCCCTCTCTCCATGCCAGCAGCACTTCAGACAAGCTATGCAAGCTAAAAAAAGTGGCAATAGTGAACTCTAAAAGAAGTGGTCCTGAACTGGCAAAGCAAAACACACACAAACCCTTAACTGCACGCCATGGCAAAGTGATACATAGCAAACATAAATGAGCACTCACCCCCAGGAAGGACAACTGGAAGATCCAGCATGCATTCAGATTTGCCAACTTCTGAAGTGGTATCAGACAAGTAATCTCCGAACTTGTTACTTCACTACTATATGATGGAAAAAAAATTAAGATCCAACACTTCTTTTCAAAGACACTCGCAACGTGAACAGGTAGGCATACACAAGGGAACATTCCCTACTTGTTCCCTACTTGACTAGAAAATTCCACATGTCACACACACCAAATCAGTCCGTTACCTAGCCTGAGAGGTGCATCTTGAAGCCTCAGAAATGATCAAAATCATGAAACGCAAAACGATGACCACCCAAAAAAAGGAATCCCGTGGTTGTTCCCTGGAACTCCAGGCCCCTCCACACCGATTTGTCCAGAAATGCAAATTGTAACTTCGTGCAAGTTGACAGCAAAAACCCATTAACATAAACATCATAAGGGATACTCATTCCCCCATCAGCATGCCTATATGTCTCAGACTGACACTCAAAACGGATTATAACAGCCTCCGCTCTATGGTAGCCATATGCATAAGCATCTTATTTCACACAAACCGTTTTAGGTGAAAAGTTGAAAACGCAAGCGCACGATATTCTCACATTTAAGTCAATATTCTGAGTGAGCTCCCGGCATGCCTTCCGCACTGGCTCCAGCAGGCCGACTGTTCAAACAAAGGCAACAGAGAATGGGACACAGCAATCAACCACAAGATCAACATCCAGTCAGGGAGGTGGCAGCTGTCTGGACTGCTTTGCAGCTTGGTTGAGCCAACGAGTACAAAAACTGCTGACGGCAGGCGAGATGTTGTATCCAAAGAAGAAACCAAACAGATGCACAGACGCCCAGACTTATTGGGACTGGAACAGCTGGGTTCTGCAGACAAGAAAGATATCTAAACTCGAGAGGTGCAGAAAGGAGGAGCACAGGAAAAAAGTCAGTTGTGTCAGAGGCCCATGTCTGAGCAATTGAAATGTGGGTGCATCAATCAAAAAGAAGAAATCTCGAAATTCCTCTGAGAAAAACAAGCATCTGGGCACATCTCGCTGGCTCAGCAGGTCAATCCAACACATTCAAGCCAGTCATACCACGGACACAGCCGAGGTTGTCATGAGGGTCAGCCGGGGTTGTCGATTGATTCCCGGACCCCCATGGGTTGCAAATTTCAGTTTGTTTGTTTTTTTTTGCTTTCCAGCACTCCCGTGAGGAATAATGCTAGGAACATTTTTTTTTCCCGAAAAAGGAACTCCGAGGGGCCAGAATAAATTTGTAGCCAGACACCCTCGCAAACCCCCGGTGCGCTGCTCCCAGCATCACCGCCCCCACCCCCGCCCACCCCCAACCTCGCCCTCGCCCCGTGCACACCCCCAAACCCGTGCACACAGCCGAGCCCACTGCCGACCGCCGTGTCAACCCCTGCACACACCGCCAGACCCCCACACCCAACCCCGCCCCCACCCCCGCTGACCCCCTGCATCACAACACTCTCGGCAGCACGCAAAGGGCCACCCCGGGCCTGGGGTGGGTGTGTCTCATGGGGAGGTCCAAGGTGCGGGAAGGTTGGTTTTGTGGCTTTGTATGCCATGGGGGCCACACCATCTCTGCGCAGCCGCCACAATTTTTTATTTTCTTTTCTGTTTGTTGGGGGGGGGGGAAGGGGAGTCCAGATCCAGGGTCAGGGGTGCCCACCACCAGATCCCCGCCAGCGGTTCACAGCCGGGAGTGGACACCCTGCACAGCTACAACTCCATTCAGATGAAAATGGCATCCTTTGATCAGGGATAAAAAGCAGTAAAAAATATTAATTTTATAGCAGTATGTCCAAATCATGGCAAGCAGAGAACCAAGAGTGCAAGCAGAATATACAACTCAGCACAACTGGTATTTCCTTGACGTAAAAATGCTACCGCACGGGCCCAACAGAAAACAGAATGGGAAGTGGTACGAGTGGGGCGCGGGCCGTAGGGGAAGTGCCGAATCAATTTTTTATTTTCTATTTTCGTGTGTCCTGGAGTTTTGTCACAAGCGCGTCGGTCCTATGGTGTGCTTTGCCAATGGCTGATTGTACGCACGTCATTCCCGTCGGGTCCTGCTCCTTGCATTTGTGGATGCTTCATCCAAGCGCTCCGTGCTTTCACCTCGCGGTGCGCTAATGGTACGCTCATCTGCATCCGTGCCAGCTTTGTGCAAGCACTCCGTGCTTTGTGCTTGGCCACTCCTGCTTTCGTCCAGGTTGCCGCATGCTCCTCACTTCCTACTTCGTGGCCCGTGCTCGTGCTGGTGATTGGGTGCACCATCGTGCTTTGGAGGTCGATGTTGTTGTTTAGAGCTGCTGATTGGGTGGGCCATCCTGCTTGGAAAAGTCTACATGCGTGAAGGGGCTTCCGGGGAGCGACACCTTTTGTGGACATATATCCTGCTCGACCGAGAACGAGGAAACGGCCACTTAACAATGAGTGATGAAGGTACTCTCTCTCTCTCTCTCTCTCTCTCTCTCTCTCTCTCTCTCATTTTCTAGAGGAAGTTTCGTTCTCATCTATGTACCACCTGCGGCTGCTGCTGTGAGGTCCATCCCAGCCGGCAGCCGAGATCTCGGCTGCGGCCGCCGACCGCCGTGGATGGGCTGCGGCCACGGGACTTGGGGGATTCTTCCACGCCTAGATAATGGGAGGGGGGGGAAAAAAGGGGGGGTTGTAGGGTTTCTCAAACCCTATGACCCCAATTCTTTTTTTTCAAACCTGCCAGGCATAGGCCTCGGTAAGCCCTATTGGGCCCCTATTTGCAACAGGTCGGCCTCCCTAAGTGAAGGCAGGTCCGATAGACGACAAGAGGCCTATTTTTGACTACTTCGCAACTGGGGAAAATTCAGGCAGTTGCACAGCGCCAGTAGGTTGAAGGCGACCAGGCCCAGGCCCGGGCCTCCTTTACCGACTGTATCTAAGACAGGCCCGGGGCAAGATACGCAGCATAGGCCCAACTCGGACAGAGGGCAGTTGGGCACGGGTAACTGTCGGGGGACGAAGGTCTGCTCATACTTGGGAAGCTGTTGACGTCATCATCGGAATTGTAGTCTAGGCTAGATAGGATCTGCCATTCGTAGTCTGGGCGCCGAGCGCCAGATAGGATATCAACATTGGTTCTTCATTGATGATGATGAGACTATTCCAGCATTGTCAATTATGAGCTTTTGGTGTGCTCTTATTTGGTGAAACTCGTGATGCAATTCTGCTTTTGGTTCGAGGTCACAACTATCTGGTCTCATGTGTATGATGTTGTTTGATTGCTGAAGTTTGCTATTGGTCATCTTCCTTGCAATTGGTATCGGAGCTGTGGTTCGGTGCGCTAATCTGGCGCTTGTCTTCTGCCTAATATGGTACATGCACGCGGTGTGTGTAGTGAGTGACCGTGCCGTGGGACGTGTGTAGTGAGGAGGGTGGACGCAAGAGTGGCAAACCAGGAGGTGAGGGGTATCGCCAGGAAGGCTGTGCGGTGATTATTGGGTGTTCGCAATATGATGAGAACTATCCACTGTGTGATTGATGCTGAGGTGGAACGGCTGTGCAATGCTGGTTGTGCCGAAGCACCGATTGGTCATCACAATCAACATCGGGTCATCTGGTGAGAATATCTGTGGTTGGGGGCAGCTATTTTGAGGTACGTTGCACCTAACCTAATCTACCCTCTTCGACACTTCTTACCGTGAGGATGTGTTCTGTCTTGAGAGTCCTCTCATGTGAGGAGTCGTGTGCGCTCAACCTTGAGAGTCGTCAGCCTTCACGTGGAGCATCTCGAAGGAGAGGGCGGAGCTATCTGAAGGGCCCTAGACGAAGCACTGGGTCACGGTCACCATGCCAACCAACCGGGAGTAGAGCACGCATGATTTGCTGCTTTGTCCGTTGTCTGCTCGCTGCGCTATAGAGGGGTTTTGAAGGGCAGGCCAGCCCTATGGGACAGACGAGACCGGGCGTCTATAAATAAGCACCGGCCGGATACCTTCCATTGGCTGTGATCGTCATCCTGTTTGCGATGTTAAAGAATTCCTGAGGACTTCGGGGGCCGTCCATAAAAATGCCTCCGGATCAGCCAATTGGACGGTGTAAGGCTCGCTGCCCACGAGGATAAAGATTGTGCAGAGCTGGCCAGCTCAGCAGGACTCGGGGCATCGGAGTGGGCGGTGTGCACACCTTTAGGCACGCACGCTGTCCGGATTGCTCAGGGACGTTGACGACAAGAGACATTCAGGAAGAACTGAGGGAGGGGTAGATTCCAGGTGATAAGTTTGGGCAAGATTCCACTCTGCAAACAGACCCAACAAGCGATTCTATTTTTATTTTGATTAGTTAGATGTAAAGCCATTGACATCTGACAAACAGCATAGTTTAGAACTGTTCTTTGTTCATTGTGCTTCTGTTTGCGAATTAGTCAAAGTCAAAGTAGTTTCGTTTGTAGGGACCTGAACTTACCCATTGGACCCAAATGTATATACTCTCTGACGCAGCCACCGATTAAGTAGTTTAATTATAAGTCGGTTTGTTCACCACGCTGCGGTAAGCATCAAAGAGTGCCTTAGTGCAGATTGTGTATAGTTTTGTAGCTTATCAGCAATAGGGACACCACTAGTGAGGACGACCGGATCTTGAGATCAGCTACATGCCCGAGAGCCCACTTGGCCCAAAGGGTGATAGATTTCTGTTCCGCCAGCTTAGGGGGAGGCACCACCAGCAGAGGAGAGCTAGGGCAGCAGAGGCCAGCAGGGCATTCGCAAGCAAAGCCACAGCTTCAGCAGCCAGGGAAACTTCTCCGCAGCAGAGTTCCCAAGCTAGCAGTTCAGGGACCGTACGGTCAACGGTCGCGCAGACCATGAGTCAGTCCACTGGCCTAATGGCAAGCCAGCCATTAGTGTCGACTCCTGAGAAGGTCGCCATAAGCAAGCTGCTGATCGCGAGGCACAACTACAGAAGGCTTTAGGAGAGATTAAGGCCGGAAAAGAAAGAATGATTAGAAGAAGAGCCAGGTTGCAACGGCGACAAGCGGACATTAGTGAGTTAGAGGAGATGGACCCAGCGGAGTTGGATGATGAACTGAGGACCTTGAGGTCGGTCTTGCTAGGAGTAGGAGAGATACAAGATCAACAGACGGCAATCTTACAAGACATCCAGCAGAGTCTGGCCGTGTTGGTCGGGCGAGCGCAGGCGGCACCATCACTGTTCGGGCCTGGTGTGGCCCATTGTACATCCTCCTTTTGTCCCACTGGTGACTGGGTAACCCCATATACCGCTCCAGCATCGGTTCAACCTATCTCCCTAGGCATGCCTTTGACAGGCGGGTTCTCAGCAGGTCCTAGTTTGAATGTTCCTGTACACACAGTGTTCTCCCAACCTCCGTCTCAGGTTGCCATAAGCGGGCAGCCTAATGTCTCGCAGCCTGCACAGCCGCAGGGTTCACAGCCCCAGCAGATAGTGCAGCAGCCTGCACCACAGGGTCCACAGTCCCGAATGGTGCAAGTATCGGGACAAAGTCATTGGGTTCCAAAGACGGCCATCCCCGCTCCTAAACCCTTTACAGGGGATAAGAGGGGCGAAGACCTCGACACTTGGTTGAGGGCAGAGTCAATCTACGTCAAGTACAAACTTACCTTGACGCACGAGGAAGTGTTTGTGGCTG